TGAAGCAAAGGAAATGTCTGGTTTTGAACTGCTTTATTTTGAACAGGAATAACTCCTATGTTGCAGCTGATTCGTCAGATCACAAAGGATCCTAAGGACTCCACAAAATGTTATCTTCTTTTTGCTAATCAGGTGAATATACCGAATCATTTGTTTGTCCTTCTTTAATGGACCCCTTTTTTGCTGCCCTCTGTACTTTTGAAACTGAAAGGACATTGACCCTTGGAAAAAATACTGCTGTGGATGCAGCATACCCTTGAAGAGTGTCTCAAGATCTGTATTCAGTGATCCGTTCATGACAAAATATGACCTGAGATGGTATATTTAAAATGATCAGCATAGGGCAGAGAGGTAGAGAATGGTTATTATATAAGTTCTTATTCTATTGTCTTGGGTTAAAATGATTTAGGGAGAAACTGAATCAGAAAATTATCTGTGAGGCCCTTTATAAATACTGCATAGTGCTGTCATAGTTTCCACAATCTTATTTCATTTATTTTGAATATTGCTCCTCATAGTTTCATTTATACTCCCTAATTCCTGCACTGGAAGAGATAGTGTGAACAGACCCATATCAATCCATTCATCTCACTCCTTTGTGTGAGTAGTGCTCGTAATTTGAATTTACAAACAAGTTTTATAGTGTATTGTGTAAGGGAAAAAATCACTGTGGATGAGCTGTCATTGCATTTGTTCTTGTGAAATGCTAGGTGAGGTCATGTTTCAGGGTATCTCAAGATGGTTTGGAACTAAATAGCTGTCTCTTTTTGCAGACAGAAAAAGACATATTACTGAGAGCTGAGCTAGAAGACATTGCTAAGACACATCCTGATCAGTTCACACTGTGGTATACCCTGGACAGACCACCACAAGGTAGGCTACTGGTACACACTGAGAATGCCTTTGCTCCTCACTATATAAAAGCCACAGTTTCACTCATTCAAGTAGCTATTACTATAACTATTTTCTAGTTTTATACCATCTTTAAAAACAAGCAGCTCCTCCCCACCACCACCAAAAGCCACTCAGAAACAAACCCTAGCACCACATCTGGCTTCCTAAACCAGCTAGGCCTTACGTGTAGACCAGGTAGACCTAATAGATTAACTCTTTTTTTTGGATGAGACACATGTTACTCCATGGACCTTTGGATGTATTTCCTAAGTGCTAGTTTCTTGGACTTTCCAGCAAAAGTTGGGCTCCCCTTCCCAGAGCTGAATCAGATTATGTTAATATTTTGTTTAATTAAATTGCTTAATACTTGACAAATATCACATGTACATCTTTGTTTTGCCACAGCCTAGATTAGATTCTGACGAGATACAGTTGTCATGTGTATAGGTTAAAAGCAGTATGGGCTGGTGTTGCGCTGAATTGGAAATGAAGGGAGAAGCTGAAATCTACCAAGTCTCTTTTAGAATGTGGACATTCAAATTCACTGATGTAAATGATCCAAGCTTTTATTTAACTCTTTGACATAAGAGCAGCCAAACTGAATCAGACCAAAGATCTGTACCTGTGTCAGCATAGTCACATGTAAATGCACAGGGAAGAGCAATCAACAGGACTTGTTGCTCTTCCAGTCCTCAGTTGTTTGGTTCTGAGCCAAATTTATGTCTACATATATAGACAGTGGACAATGTCAGTGGATTTTTTTTCTATGGACTTACCATATTTTCCTTGGAGTCAATGTGAACTTTTGGCAGTCTGTTAGGGATTTAACAGTTCTGTGTGAAAAATGACTTCCTCTTGTTTGCTTCTCTTAATTCTTGTGTTGAGAGTGTGAACAGCTCCTTCCCAACCCTCATTTTACAGACATCTATCATATCCCATCCCGTAGTCTCTTCTGTACTGAAAATTGCTGGCATTCTCTACGTAGCAGTGACTCCATACTTTTGCTAATCTTTTGTTGTTAGTCTGTGAACCTTTTCCAGCTCTGCTATGTCCTTTTGTGAGATGGTAGGATCAGAACTGCATGCAGTAGTGAAGATATGAGCAAAGTGTGTTTTTACTTTGACATGCTGATGGACTCTTGTCCTTTCCTAATTGTATTTTGGCTGCTGCTGTTTTCATAACCCCAGTATATTGCTCCTGATAAACTGACTTAGAGCATGTAGTTTTATATGTGAAGGTAGGATTATTCTTCCTACCTGGCTTGCTTAAAATGGCAGATGGAAGGTATTACACTTTGAAGTCATTTTGCTTTTTTTTTTTCCCCCGCCTTCATCAGCTTTTTACTACACTGAAGAACTTCTCTCAAACTCTGCCACCTCACCCCTGGATCTCTTTTCCATGTTTTTACAAATGTGTTGAATGGCACAGCTCTCAATACCTGTCCCTGTACAACTTACCCCCGGGTGACCTCTTTTCATTGTGAAAACTGATTTATTCTTCTTGGTGTTTATTCCTACCTGCTGTCTAATTTGTTAAGTAAGTCCATAATTTACTCACAGAAAGAGCTTCATGTGTCCTGAAAGCCTGCACAGACGCTTATCAACCAGATCCTGTTTACCGCATGCTTGTTATTTTCAAATAGGACCACTAGGTATGAGCTCAGCAAGAGATTTAACCTTATTTTTGCTTGCAGTGATGTGGCATAACTGTTCTGATTCTTCAGCTACTTCATGAATACAACACATGCACTTAAGAAGCTTCAAACTGTATGAAGATTCAATTTAATAGTGTAATTTCTCTGTTTCAGATTGGAAGTACAGTTCGGGCTTCATCACTGCAGACATGATTAGATCGCACCTCCCTTCCCCTGGCAATGAGACACTCATTCTGATGTGTGGGCCACCGCCTATGATTCAGTTTGCGTGTCAGCCCAACCTGGACAAACTAGGCTATGCCAAGAGCAGCACATTTGCTTATTAACACTGATGTCATGTGCTACCTTTTCTTAAGTACTGCGTATTTTCAGCTTGAACAACTGGTATGTAACTGTAGTCTTTCTCAGTTCAGTTTCTATGTTTTAGCTGCATAATTACCTTTGGTTGTTTTAGTACTAAGAAATTCAGAAATAATCTTGAATTATGTGTGCGTAACTTACAAAGTTAGTCAAGTAAGTACACAATGTTAGTGTACTTACTAACTTAGTGTAAGTTAGTACAAAATGTTGCATCTCTAATTCTGTGATAATTTTTAAGTAAAACTGGAGAGGCAGGACAAAGATGAAACCACTGGTTTTTTATTTGGGTATGGAATTTGAGAGGGATATAAAAGTGGACTGGGATTACAGGACTGTGCTCTGCAGCTAATTCTTTACTGCATCCCTGTGAAAGTGAGAACAAAGAGAAGTCTTTCTTTTTTTTCCCTCTTTTTAAAAAAAAAAAAAAAAAAAAGCTTTTTTGCAGTCCTTTACCAGAGACTAAGCAAGAAGTTGCAGTATATAATTTTAAAAAATCCTGAACAGAATTTGTGTAATGTGCAAATTGATTTATTAGTGTAATGGAAATTTTCTTCAGTGTGAAATTTATTTAGGAGGACTATATAATCACTGCTGGAAGGTGATTCCACTGATGTAAGGTCTGGGCTAAATTTACAGGCATAAATATCCAGAGATGTTGCATCATTTGAATGTTTTTCTTTAACAAGGGTAGTGCTTGCTCTTTTGGCAGGTTCAGAAATTTCCTTTGTTTAAGAGAAAACAGGGCTTCTCCTTTCTTGCTGTCAGTTACGGTGAGTCAAACTCTGCTAACGTCTAATATCAGTGTTTTCACCGTACAGCATTTGGTATTTCACTCTTGACTACCTGCAGTACAGCACATTCATATTGAGGAATTATTATATACTGCATTTGCTCTAAGGTCTGAAAAAAATGCCTGCGAGAGGAGGCTTGTTTCTTCAGATGCTAGGGCACACATTTATTAAATATTTTTATTCATCTGAAGCAAAACCAGCAGAATGTACTAGTTAAAATTTGGCATATAGTTTGGTACTTCATCAATTATATTTGTAGCAAAAATGCAAAGACAGGGATTCAGCTTCTGCTTAGGTTCAAACTGTGATTCTGTTCCCAGTAAGAAAGTAGTCACCCATATTTTGTGTTAGAATCATTACCCAGTCAGCAAGAGATGGAGGAACATCCAGAATTTATTGTTAACAGTCAGAAAAATTAAGCTTTTTGTGTGTTACGCTATCTAAGATTTGTTACTATATAACAAGGAACAAATCAAAAATTCTTGTAGACTGAATATTCACAGCCAAGTTAGCACAAGGACACGGTGAGTTATAAATATAACATCAAAAGAAATCTGCAAATCTTCTTGGAATATCCCAGTGATATGAAGGCTGTCCCAGTCAGAGCAGCTTATTCTCTCTTTATCATACTTCAAAGCGTTTGCTGCTAAATTAACCTGACAGACTGTTTCAAATGCCCACAGTATGTGATCTGGTAACTAGTGTTGATTGCATTGGTGGATTAGAGATGTAATTGACTGGTACGTTTAGTACCTTTTAGTAAATGTTGTTAGTCTGCTGATGTATAGACTGATTTCTGAGTCCTTTGGATTTTCAATTATCACTTCATCTTCCAATGACTGACTGAAAAAAAATAGCCTTAATTCTAACTCTTTGGACAATAAAAAATCACAAAAAACTCATGTGTTTAACTTCTAAAATCTCATCTTATAGTGCGAGGTTTGTCATGAGAAGTTTATATAAAGTTAAGGGTAGGTATCTTTAAAAAGTCCTGCTGATAGCTCTCAAAGAGCCCTCACTGCATACTTTGATCAGTACCTGAGATTTCCCATTTATTGGCAAGGGTTGTGGTTAGCAGTCCACCTGCTCTCAACTGTTTTAATATGTAAACTGACATCCTGCAGCCACAAAGGAGAGTTTAATGCAAAGCAGTTATATAAGTTCTTATTTTTTGCTTTAGAGTTGGACAGGTTTCTTTTCTGGCATTTCCCTACTTACTAAAATACCCTGTTGGTACCTTATTAATACACTTACAGGTGCATGTCAAACAAGGCCACGAGTGATTGCTGCCATAAAGGAATCACTTTCACCCTTGAAAAGCTCCCCTGAGGAAGGAGTCACAGGCTGTATTTCCTTCTGTTACAGCACTACAGCACTGCCTAGGTCAGTAGAATAGCAGGAGATCTATTTTGCAGGTGTTTTAAAAAGAAACATGATCTCTTGTTTCATTAAGGTAGTATCCTGATGTTCCCTAGTTACATTTTACACCTCACAGCACAATGGTGTTTGTCTCCTATTGCTAAATAAAGCACATCATACATACCCTATGAAAAACCTACCTGTAGCTGGAATGAAAAAAGAGAACTGAAAGTGTAACAGCAATAGCTTTTACAAAAACGTCCCTAATTCTCATGTAAAAGTTGCAGAGTGTTTGTACTGGTAGCTCTGGTCCTGAGGGCTGCTCATGGTCATGTTTAATTATTAATAACTATAGAAAAAAAAAAACAGGCTTACTATCATCCCTGTCTTCCTGAGAACCTGTGCAGTGTTTCACATCAGTCAGATATTGGGCTGAGACTATTTTCTCAGAACCATTTTGACGATTCGGAAGGCTCATACGAGCAGACTGACGCTTGTATGTGTGCCTTAGTACAAGCCATTTTAGACAAAATGTTAATGTACAGGAAGAGCCTATTCAGCTCTGGTTAAAGAACAAACTGTTATCAGTTAAATAATCATCATGTTGCAAAGTCTGTTGTGCTTACCCCACAGGAGAGCAGCAAACACCATTCTGATATTTTAAATGCACATTTTATGTTAGCTGAGTGTTGCAATTGCTCCTTGATCACAAACATGTTGGTACTTCAAATCACACAACTAAAAAATTTACTTTCAAAGAAGAGCCAGTTTTGGGGTCCATCAGTTTTCCAGCTAGTCTTAAAGTTAACAGGACACTTCCTGTTGCATTTGTTCAGTACCTTTTACCTTCAGAGTTGGGTAACGATCCGTGAACATGAGTGTCATCCTCTTCCTGATAAAATCAAGGGCTTGCTTGATTTTAGGGAGCTGGCGGATGTTATTGCTAGGCCACTCTCCATCATCTTGGAAAGGTCCTGGAGATCAGGAGAGGTGCCTGAGGACTGGAAGAAAGCCAATGTCACGCCAGTCTTCAAAAGGGGCAAGAAGGAGGAGCCAGGAAACTACAGGCCTGTCAGCCTCCCCTCCATCCCTGGAAAGGTGATGGAACAGCTCCTCCTGGAGGTCCTCACTAAGCATGTGGAGGGAAAGAAGGTGATCAGGAGTAGTCAGCATGGATGCCCCAAAGGGAAATCGTGCTTGACCAATCTGATAGCCTTCTATGGTGGAATGACTGGCTGGGTAGAGGAGGGAAGAGCAGTGGATGTTGTCTCCCTGGACTTCAGCAAGGCTTTGGACACTGTCTCCCATCACATCCTCCTAGGTAAGCTCAGGAAGTGTGGGCTAGACGAGTGGACGGTGAGGTGGCTTGAGAACTGGCTGGATGGCAGAGCTCAGAGGGTTGTGGTGATCAGTGGCACAGAGTCAAGTTGGAGGCCTGCAGCTAGCAGTGTCCCCCAGGGGTCAGTCCTGGGTCCAGTCTTGTTCAACGTATCCATCAATGTCCCTTCCTCAAGGTCAGAGTGCACCCTCAGCAAGTTTGCTGATGATACTAAACTGGGGGGAGAGGCTGACACACCAGAAGACTGTGCTGCCATTCAGAGGGAC